GATATCACTATCTCCTTTTCTCTGAATGCAGTCTAAAACTAGCTTTCACAAGCTTTAAATTGCATTTATTGGATTTATTACTTGTATATAAAAAAACGATTGATCGTATTTGTAGGAATTTCTCTATATCACGCCGTATTTTTCACGGCATAGAACTGACTCTTGAGTGGTATGAAATGTAAGATTTATTTAAATGAACAGAAACTACATCAGTTAAAGAGGTAGTTTAAAATGTAGCGGGATGATAAGTTAAACAAACAATAGCCTTGTAATTATTATTATCTGGTTTTAGATTTAGATCATCATATCGTTAGTGGTAATGAATTCGATTTCTATTTCAAGGTAAGCTTTATAGTATCAAAATTAATGCGAAATTGTGAAATCTTGGTGTTAAGAAGTCTGTCTAATTTTTAATTACCATTATATTTCTAGACGCATCTGAAGCCCAAAGTACTTCTAATTAGTCGTCAGAAACTGTACTCGCGAAAACTTTTAACCGTAGAAAGTAATTAAAGTGACTTGAATTTATTAAATTATTAATACAGATAAGAATATGTACTGTTTCTAACAGTCGCCAAAGTTATATAGTGCTTCAAATGCAAGAATTACTAAAACCAATTTACGTAAAATGAATGTTTCATCTGGTTGGTCCAACACTGTCTCTTTGATGATCTTTGACGCGGAAGACCATCAACGCGAGCGAAGCCGCGGACAGAGCCTAGCATTATAATTGACTAATTTATTTCTGTTAATTGTATTTAGAATAATTACTTTATAATTCAACTAGTATTGACAAAACAGTATTGTATGAAAATAAATAAAAGTAAAACAAAAATACTTGTATGCAAGGGAAGAAAAAGTAGCGAACGAGCGAATATAAAGATAGCAGACTAAAAATTACAAGAACTGGCCGATTTTAGGTAGGAAAGTAGGAGCAGGAAGGATAGAAAGCAGAGGAGTGCAGGGTTGAGTCGCCTTCAATAAAAAGAAGTTACTTTCATGCTTGCGAACGGTTAATTTAGATATTCGAAAAAGATTGTCAAAGGTATATATTTAGTGTACGGAGCTGTACGGGTGCGAAACATGGACGGTGGACGCTGCGGAAAAGAAGAGGTTACAAGCGTTAAAAATGTGGTGTTACAGGCGAATGATAAGGATACCGTGGATAGAGAA